AGGACTCTAACACAGAGGCTATAAATAGGGGTTTATCATCCACTCAACAATCCTCCTAGAAATAGGTTGCAATACCATCTCCAATAGAGCACGAGAAAAAAATTAGATAAAAACGAAATATAGATGATATATAGCCTTCTTGGGGCATTTACCTGAAATCATTGGACCACTAGTTGAGGCTCAATAATAGGATTCAACCCATGTTTGCTCATGATTATCCTACGCCACAAGCCATTACACTCCTAAAAAACGCCACAACCATTTAGCCAACAAGGTCTAGCCGCCTCCAACGATTCTCTATTCGTCAAGGACCAACAAAGACCCAGAGAATGAGAAGAGGAATTTCCGAGGACTCTAACATAGAGGCTACTAAATAGGGGGTTTATTATCCACCCAGCAATCTTCCCATAAATATGTCGTAGTACCATCTCCATTCGAGCATGAGAAAAAATTAGAGAAAAATGGAATATGGAGGATATAGCCTCCAAAGGGCATTTACCTGAAATCATTGGACCACTAGTTGAGACCCAATCAAAAGGATGCGATTCATATTTGCTCATGATTATCCTATGTCACAAGTCATTAGACTCTTGGAAAAAATGCCACAACTATCTAGCCAATAAGGCCTCATTCCTGAATCTCAGGTTCCCGAATCCCAACCCCCTGCCTCTAACGGTTTCAAGATGATATCCCAATTAACCAAACCCCCTGCCTCTAACGGTTTCAAGATGATATCCCAATTAACCAAATGGGAACCTCCACCCTCTTCCGCCCCTCCCACAAATAAATCTATCATGATTTTCTCTAAGCTTTTACTAATGGACACCTGAATTTTAAAATTTTGTGAACAAGGAGAAGATATTTCCAGTAACACTAAATTTTTTTGCTCTGCAAAGAACCACATATGCAAGCACTCACAATCCTTGGTGATAGGCATAAAATTCTAGAAATCTCACTTCTTCTTCATTGCATTGGTAAGAATCTGTTGCCTTGGTCTTTCAATTCCACAGATTTTGCTGGCCCTGTTCTTTCTTTCCTTCAACTGCTTTCTTGGTTTTCCTACCTTAGTGGCAAGTTCATTCCTGATTATTAGCATGTATTTGAGTCTGTACTTCATTGCATTCTCAATGTAATCACCATATATCAAGTCAAACCCCACTAGATTTTGCCTGACCGAAGTGAGTCAGAATCTTGAAAACAAAGATCACATTTGGTGAAGGCCGTAATATGTTGCCACCCACCAAGCTAGCTTATAGGTTTCATCCTTCAACGTTTCATTGATATATGAAAAGTTACAAAATTGTTCAAAGATACAAACTCCGAAGAGAGTGAAAGATGAATAAAAAGACAACCGAACAATGAAAAGTTATAAAATTGTTCAAAGAAGCAAAAGTAATTACTAAGTAAGAAATGATTCTAGAGGAGTATAAATTTCTTGGGATTATTTTTGGGAAATTTGACAAAACCCTTTTAAGCTTTTTAATCATCGTTTTCAAAACACAAGTTTTATAGGTATTTGCTGACATCACCACCACACCAAATGACCCTCACTACCCCTCCACTAATATTTTAGACTTCCCTCTTTATTTCCTCTCTACCTCCATCTCCCTCTTTTTCCATATTTTTTTTCCTCATCCTTCCTAAAATTTTCTTGGAGTTCCTCTTTTCCATCTTCCCTCTTTCTCTATTTTTTCTGTTACAATTATTCTCTTTCTTCTTTACTCCCCCAAAAAACAATTTACTTAAAAATAAACCCTAAATCTCTCAGCTTTTTTCCTCCATGATTCCCGTGACTTTTAGCAATCGCTGAAGACGGATGCATCAAAACCGACGAAGGAGGTCGTTCGCAGAAGAAAAAAAAAGCTCAGTGGAAGAGGAATGGGGGAGGAGATAGAGCGAGAGAGCAAGGGTGAGCGAGAGAGAGAGCGAGGGTGAGAGAGAGAGCGAGGGTCAACGAGAATTGAGAGAATCTAAAAATAGTATTTTTAATGAGATTGTTTTTTTGATAGTATCTAAAAATTAATTTCGAATTAATGTTTATCCATTTAAATTAATTTTGAGAAAAACGGAATCTTAATATTAATTCAAATTTGTTTCTCGAAATCTATTCTCAATCTCATTAAATCTCTCAACGTAGTTTTAATTATGATTGAATTAAAAACCCCTCATTTTGCTTTCATCTCTTTCCTTCCTAATTTAAAATTTAATCAAATGAAAATATCAATTTGAAATCTAATTACAAAAAGAAAGTATTCAAATTTGAAATTTAATTCAAATTTGTTTCCCGAAATCTCTTTTTTAATTAGATTTTAAATGGATACATTTGATTAAAATTTAAATTAGGAATGAGAGATGGGAAAACAAAATTGGGGGATTTGAAATTCAATTATAATTAAAACCACATTGAGAGATTTAAGGAGATTTATGAGAGATTTCGATAAACAATTTGAATTAATATTGAGATTTCGTTTTTCTCGAAAATTAATTTGATTTGATAAACATTAATTCAAAATTAATTTTTAGATACTGTCAAAAAAACAATCTCATTAAAAATACTATTTTTAG